TAAATAAAGGATGTTGAATAACAAAAGAAAATGTGTGATTCATGAAATAAGTGACATTACATACTGAACTTAAGTAAAACCCACACTAAGTAGCCAGTAATGGTTATATAAACACTTCGAGGCGACACTTGAAATTGGAAATGACACTACTCTCAAGCCACTATCATCAGCGTGCTTTCATCGAGATATGAAGCACGCGGGAAATTTGGAGAGCACGAAAGATGTGTAAGAGTTGCTCGAGGCTTTAGCTTCTTGAGTGCTCTCCAAACTTCCCAAGTGCTTCATATCTCAATGAACGCACAGCTGACGTATGAACCAATTGTTTCATAACATTTTCAACCCGATGGAAAATTTATTTTTCTCGAGGGATTTGTCTGCTGACGTCATGAGCGTGCACAATAGGAATATGAAGCACGCTCGCGCAATTGAATTTGATTACACAAATTTACTACCTATGTTATAATACATATTGAATTCCATGATCCTCTTTGAATCACGCCGGTAGATGACGCACTAGAAGTTCTAATTTCAGGTTTCTTGTACTGGACAGTGATAACACCCGCCAAGCGGTCGATGAATTAAGCAAATTTAAGTCAGTTCTTAAAATTTTGTATCTCCGGTGGATCTTGCATCCCATTTTGCTGATGAGCCTCTTCGAGTCCCAGATCATTGCACGAGTGCTTCCTAGTACCATCATATTCCACCTGTGCAGACTGAAGGGAATTGTTGCAGCAAAAGCATTTACTGTTGTTACGGTTAAGCTCGAAATCAGCCTTGGTAAAATATTCAACCATGGAATCGACAACCCCAGCCATGAAACACAACCCAGGGATAATCCATTCAGAAGGTTGAATTTTCATCATCACTTCTGGAACAAAATCTCCGAAGCCCACGGTAGTCAGAGTGATGAACCATACATACACACCCTGCCTAATGCTCCAGCCGTTAGTGGCTTGTGATGCTGCTGCTGCAGAGAACACAATGGATGTTAGCACGAAGATGTTACCCAATAGAACCTTCAGTTCAAGGTTTTTACTCTCATTTTGCTTTCTACAGAGGCAGTTTTCGAACTTTGTTATAAGCCACTTGACCATGCTGTTGTATCCCTCGCCAATGGACTTAAGAGTGAGAATCGTCAGAGGTATACCAAAAATGGCATATACAATCGTAATAATCTGTCCCGCAGCGGTCCTTGGCGTGATGTTTCCATAACCTGCCAAATAAAGATGTTACTTGTTTAATGCTTTGCTAAAATGCTATAAATGACTTACTAACTGTACTTTCCTAATGGATGTGACAAAAAGGCACATAAAAAGCAAAGATGATGGTAGTAATCTGTCTTGCAGCAGTCCCCAACGTGTTGTTACCTTAACCTGTGACGTTAAAATGTTTTTGTGTTGAAAATGCTGTAATTAACTGGGCACTTCGACAAAAAGCGAATAATTTAGATGTCAATGTATGTGTAATGTGTCTTCTCAATGGACTTTTGTGCAAGGTAAACACTGAAATAACAACTGGAAAAAAATTTGTTTTAAACGTAGTCACTAGAATGTATTTTCCCTAAATTAAGCAGAGGGACTTTCTAAAATAGAAAAAAAAATAGACTAGATGAAACATAGAGAAAGATGTTTTTCGTCTTATTACGAGCGTGGGACTAAGAAAAAATTCTGAGTCCCCATAAGGAATCGAATAGACGAAACATCATAATAATAATTATAATAATAATAATAGCCAATGCTTGTATGGCGCCTATCCGGCTCGCTCTAGGCGCTTCGTGATCTCAAAATATAAGAAAATATGAATAAATATTTACACAAAATTAAAATCGTGTAAGAAGGTTTTTAAAAATGAAAGATCTTAAGTATAAATCTAAAAGTGATACCAGTCTGGGGACAGAAGGAAACATCACGATCACTACTTGAATTAGAAGAAACACATTTGTTACCAATGCTTTTTAAGTAGAATGGGTATAACATGGATCGTAGAATTAATAAAGTTTGTTAGAAACGGTAGGAATTTTTTTTCTGCTTACTCTTTGCGTTTGATAATGAACGAATGTTCTGACCACAATTTTCCGCGGAACAAAGTTTTGAAATGACCCTCATAACAATGAAGGACAGGCAGCTCTTCAGTAATGAATCAGAGAGTTTCTTAAATTAGCAAGGGTTCAACTAAAGTCAGCGTGAAATTGAACTAGATTAATATTCCACTTGATACTTTCGATTCTTTGTGTCGTGGACACTCAAGGTTTGATGTGTTTGGCTATTAATTGGGAGCTAAAACTAGAAAAGGGAATAACATTATCTTATGCTGGAAAGTTAAATGTTATCGTAAGAAATGTCACAGGCGCTTGCAGGTGTAACTTTTGTTGTGGATATTTACAAAAATGACATTTGCAAGCATTAACCGCATAGGGCTTTTACCAAGAAGTATACAGCCTACATAAACGATAAAGTGGTTTAGAAAACCATAGCCATTGCATACCAATTGTAGTCAAAAGCTGCAGTGTAAAACTGGTAGCATTTTCAAAGCTCCATTCCGGCAAATTTGCATACGCTGTTGTCTTCAATTTGTTGACGAGTATTCCAAATTCATCATCAGTCATATTGTATTTATCCATCGTTATGTTCTTTAAAATTTCCAATTCAGCTTTATTTTTCTCGATCTGTTCTTTCGTCGCTTCTTCTTCTATCATCATGAACAGGAAAGCACCGCCGTAGAGAAAACCCAAGAATAAAGAGAAACGGATTAAAAAAATTTTGGTTTCTTTGCTCACACAGTTAGATCGGCATAGATAACTCATTTTCGTCCTGTTTCGAGTCGATACACATTTACAAATTTAAACAGGAGGATGGCGTGGCGGCTACTTAATTAAACGCCGTCTTTAAGGAGCATGATATTACTCTGCGTGAAACATGAAGTTATTTGCATTTCAATAGTCAAGCGAAGTAAAAATTTGTTTCAATCCCTAGACACCTGCTCAACTATAATTGTAGGAACAAACGACTTCGCAAAGAAATTTCAAAGGTTATCAAAAGTATCTGAAATAGTCGTTTATCAGTGACTGGAGAGTATTAATACACGGAATGTGTTTCATCTTCCCTCCCACATTCTTCATACACAAAATTAGGCATATTGTGTTCTCTTCATTCACTTACAAACGTTACATCACGATATTCTCCTTTAACTTGTTGATATATCAGTTAACTCTATTGATTAGAACCTAAGTGACGGCCTTAAGGGAAGGTAGAAGTCTTTCCGTTGAAACACACATTAATGTCATCGATGTCGTTGATGTCATTTCCGTCAAATTTTCGTCAAGTTGACAATTTTTTTAGGAAATTTTCTTTCATTATACTGTTATTATCCTTAACATAAATCTTTACGAAGGAATATGAAGCTTTGGAAAGGAAAAATTACGGTAGCCAAACGCAACTCATACAATACAGCAAATTCGTTCTCAGTTGGTCATATTTTTGTTTTAAAAAAATTAAGGGTGGTATATCAGATGATAAAAGCTAAATATGTAAAATGCATTTAAAGGTTTTGATTATATCAGTGATTCGTTTCCTTTATATTGACAACACATACTTCATATCCTACTATTCGAGGCCAACAACTAAGAGTCACGTAAATAACTGAAGAACGATACTGATACATTCGGTGATGATGGAAATAAAGGTGACATATTTTCAGCCTGGTATACAGTTACTCTTAAAAAAAACCAAAAAGAAGAAGAAGAAGAAGAAGAAGAAGAAGAGGAAGAAGAAGTAGACGATTAAAAGCCTTTGTTAGAAAGTTGGTACCGAAATCACTCAGATTCTAAGAACACATCAAGAACCTTTTTTCGCAACTAGAGGTATAGATAAAAGTTGAAATAGATTTGAAGATTGATATCCGACAGGGCAATTATCTAGAATCGTTAAGGACACGATTTTTCCTATTCCGATATACACTGAAACGCACTTCAATTCGTATTCGAGTTTCATGGCTATAGGAAGACTACTGAAAGCTCTATGAGGATAAAGCATGCAGCTATTGATCAAAACATGGAGGCAATAATGTGCTGATTGGCCCATGGTATTGTGTTTTGATGATAAATGCAAAAGTATTGTCAGTTAATTTCTTCGCTGAATAACTCTTACCTTTTTCTGAATGCTCTTCGACCTCACTGACCGTTTTCGTTTCACAAGATCAGTCACATTCTTCTTTTCAACGATTTCACATTCCATGGCGAAGTTAGCTTCATACATGGCAGACTTTCTATTAATTCGCCTTACGAAACTTTTCGACCTCATAGCCAATTCTTTACGTGCTAGGGAAGCCGCTTTCATCTCCTCCTGAAACAACGCTAAGGCCAGCCAAGGTAAACAACGCCATGAAGAATATGAAAACCCATAATATTTCTTTCCTTTCAATACGTTGGTCTATGTACTGGAATGGGATGTAATCACCAAATCCAATTGTCGAAATTATGCTAAACCACGCATATATACCCCTGAAAAAGGTCCACTTTTCAATGTAAATTTCTACAAGGCTTCTAAGAACGAGAAACAGAATCATTAACGCACATGTTCCAAGAAATGTTTTAAGTCTGATTCTGTGAACCTGTTTGACTCTGAATAACAATTTCTCTATTCCTAAAATGAGCAACCGTATGCAATTGGCGATAATCTCACCCATTGTCTTCAGGGCCAGCATGCTTAATTGTATACCAACCAAAGCATAAAGCACGGTCAGCAGTTGGCCCAGGTCTGTGTCTGGAGTCATGTGACCATACCCTAATGACAAAAGAAAGCACTATCACGCAAAAGGACGAAAACATGCTGTTTACAAACAGCGTTGTTCAAGTATACCTGGAAAGCATTCCAAAGCAAATAATCGCATTACAAGAACAAATAAAATCTTTCCAGTCGGAATAGGTGTCACACGAGAACTTTCAGTCGCTCTATTCACTTTTAAAGATGAAGTAAATTTGCAGAAACGCAGCTTTAATTTCTAGTATACGCACCATACCGTTCAATTGTACCAATGATGTCATACTTTGTAATCAAAGCTCTTATCTCGATGATTATTTCGTTTTTGAATTATACTTTTTGTTATGGTGAATAAAAATTCTCCTTTAGGAAAATCCGTATTTCTAATAGGAACCTCACGATTCGATTCAACTTACTTATTGTCATTAAAATGGTAAATACGTAGAAGTAAGCAATGAAAAAAATCCCTTCCACTTTACTTCAAATTCAAGAAACTTCATGCATATTTTGTACAAAAACAGAAAATTCGGAACGTCAAGGCTAAGCACCCACGATAAAGTCCCCCTAGCAAGTCAAAAGAAAACTATCGATAAGGTTTTGAGTTGTTGGCGTCTTTTCGACATATTTAGACAAACAAGCACAGAACATAGCGTAAGACGATCAAAAAAATGGCTCATTACGTACAAGAAGGAAACCATAGATTCAGTATTGTTAACAAAGAATGCTTCTCTATATGGAAAGTAAACCAAGAATTCTTCATCACGAAAACCTGACATCTAGAGCCTCAAGACTTTCTAGATTTATGACTGAAGCGAATTTGCAGGAGCACAAGTTAGTGTTCCCTAGAATTCAGTAACTTCGGACGAATCGCCAACATCTGTTCAAAAGAAGTTATTTTGTGGTACCTTACAGCCTAATTGCGCTGCTAATATCATACTTCGTGGTCAATGCTAATGTCAAAGTCACTCTTCTCATTTCCATATCGAATCAAAAGGTTGTGTTTAGTAGGTACTTTTCCTCTATAAGTTTTGAAATCATGATTAACTCACCTATCGTTGTTAAGAGAGTAAACACGTAGGAGGAAGCAATTAAAAAAATCCATTCTACTTTCCAGCCAATTCTAACAGCTTCATAAGCATTTTGTACGAAGACGATGAATTCAGAATGATTCAAAGCCGGATATTTCTGGCGAAGTTCCCTTAACATGTCAACAGAAATCTCTTTGTAAGTTTTCGGTGTCTTTTTTACCTATTTAAACAGCCAGGCACCAAACATGGCGTAAGATGAAAGAAGGAAAATTCTCCAAAGAGCCTTGATGAGAAGTTCCCTTATCATGCTGAGAGCTTGTAAAATGAAAAGAGGATGCTCTCTTCATTTGCTTCGTTTTTGCTGTTGTCATGTTAATTGGTTTCGACGGCTCTTTGTCATTAGAGGGAATGTGCGATTCAGAGTCTAAGCATATCGTCCATATCATACGATACGTAAATTGTTCGGTATTATCTCGTGAAAAGAATTCCGACCAAAAATGTGAGCTGAAATAAATAGTTTCCAAAGTCTTTACATCGAGATCATCCAGTGCGTCTTTACTAGTGTTCCAAAATATACCCACACTAACCATCTACCAGTCGAAAAAAAGCCTATGCTCGCTTAGCCATCGGAGTTTAAAGAGAATCGGCAATGGAGCCTAGCAAATCAACTTGGCGCGGATATCCTACATCAAAATGGTTCTTAACAGTCTTCAGAGGTTTAGTATCGCTCTCTCACAAACATTATATGATATGTATGATTAAATATTGGCCGATAATAATTTGGTACCTTATGCAGCATGGTTTTGCCGTGTTTGCAGTTTATGCCTTGGTCTATTGACATTTTCAAACTTCTTTCTAAAGATATTCCAGTGTCGCCGAAAAAAGGAAAAATTTCTTTGAACTTATGTCCGAGTGCTCTTTCTTTGTTGGAGATTTATGCCAGGATCGTCCTCTTGGTTGGCTTTGCTATAACCTTACCGAAGATCTAAGCTGAACCTCTCTATAGCACGTTGTTTGTTCAGCTTGCACGGAAGATAATAAACCGAATGGAAATTTGGTAAAAATGATAAATTTCACTTGAATAGCCCGGCCCGCTTTTATGCAAATGTAAGTAAAGGGGGGGGGGGGGGGGGGGGGGG